GCGTTCCACCGCAAGTCGCATCGTCGTATCTGGCTTAAATTTATTCATAACAGTACTCACCTGCCTTTTATTATAAAGTATTCTTCATAACAGTTACAATATCAATAATAATACTTGTTCATAACAATACTTATAATAGTAATAGTCTTCATAAGAGCCATACATAACAGCAGTAAGTTATTCATTCACCTGATCACCACTAGTTGAAAACCAGCGTTTTCTTGTGGGTCGATCGCCCACCCGAGCGTTGCACGACGTCACCCTTCTCCTGAACGGATCTTCCGAATCATTGCCCGACTGCTGCGTCTCATTTTGATCGCCGCCGCCGCCGCCGCCGTTCGCCTCTGCAGGCGTCTCCTCTTGAAGTGTTGTCGCGGGTGTGCCACTGAACGGACTTTTGGAGTGTTGTCGTTGCTCTTGGTATGAAGTCACTATTTTGGCCACCTGAAATTAACAACTTCTATTGAGCATTTGGAATTGAAGCGTTATTATTAATATTATTCTGATATGAATGCGCACCTCCTCGACTTGTTTCTCGTTGGCTTGAGGTGTCTTAAAGAAGAGGCCACAAACGATACACAGTAACGATATCACTGCGATATTCATCAGGAACGTACGCCAATTACCGTGGTTCAAATTCAGTAAGAGTGGATTGATCTGCAATCATAACACTATAACAATCACATCAGCTATATCCACTGTTTCGCACTTCTATTTTGAGATTTCAGACGGAGCCAAACAAAGCGGAGATTCAAAGAGAATATTAAATGTTCGCACCTGTGAGAAGATCGTTGTTCCAATACCAGAACCGCATACGGCCAACCCCAACGCGAACGCTCGTTTCTTCTCGAACCACTGATTGACGATCACAATCGCCGGCAGATACACCAGACCAAAGCCAATTCCTGAATTCAGTGCGCACTTATCACTGTTCAATGTACGAAGACGTTCAATTTTATTCGCAGCAACGCAAAATGCATAGCACTACCTCCAATGATGCCGAATGTAACGTATAAAATCGGCAGTGCTGGCACCAGAACGGATGTCATAAAGCCAATGAAGACCATCACCGTCCCACCGATCACCACCGAACGACATCCGAAACGATTCGCCAGCGCACTCGCCAGTGGACCTGTGCAAATCAACTCGTTACCAACAACTATCAATCACTCAACTCAACCCAACTAAAACCACCAACCAGCCAACAGATAACACCCGCCCAATAACGACTGTGCCCATGATGCTGCCATTGCAGACGTCTCGAATTCACGCTCCCAAATGCTCAACAACGATTGACCAACGGTGAAAATAATGCCATCGACGAAAAGATTCGCAAAAAATGACGCTATGACGATCACCCATCCGTAGCCACCTTAAATTCTCAGATCATTAGTGATCATCGATTGCACATCAATCAATACTGATCGCCGCAGACAAACAACCAACCATCTGGAGGTGTTATAACTGCAGCATTGGCAAGCTTCGCCTCGACAATATCACGTTGCTCATCGTCGCTATCTGCCGCCGCCGCCTCCATATCCTTCTCGGTTAATCGCTTCTTTTCCTCTGTTTTTGTTTCATCCTTCAGCCCAACACCGCTCATCTCCGTCCACTAGTAGGAATAATAATCGGTGTTTTTGCACACTGCTACTTCTGTTGCCTTCGTTTGCGTTAGCGTTGTCGTCTCGTCCAGTTTACTTTACTGTTTCGATTGGATTGATTTTGACTGAAATAATCTCATGTTCTCATATTCGATTACAGAAAACGATAGATTATTTTCATACTCGAAACTGATCAATCCCTTTGCTTGCACATAGCCACCCACCCACATACAAACGTAAACGAACCGATGAACAAAAACAATGCAACATTCACAACGAAACGTGAACAATCCTCAAAATGCTCTCAATCGCTCGCCACGAAACTACCGAAACGTCCATAAGCATCTATCTATTATTGCATCGGATATAATCAATCGCACATCGAATCTCAAGACAATTCTCGGTGGATATAAGTGAATGCAATAAATTGATGAATGTACGCACATACACACACACGGATGAATGAAAGAAAAAGAAACGTTTTTCAGAACGCGCAATCAAATTGAAACATCACAAATCACCACCGGTAATACACACAATAAATCAAACAAACATCGATTCAGTGCCGTGTCACCGACCCACCGCCTCTATCAATTATCACATATCATATCACTAAACCGTTCGTTGCTCACTCAAAACTTTTATGTCTACAATATTTTGTTCACTTTCCCAGCCAATAAAATGAATTTTCTCTGTTTTTTGTTTCCCACTGATTCATTTTGTTCAATTCAAATGGCTTTGTTCAATTGCTTATTGCTATTATACTTCTGATCGCTAATTACAAATACGGAATATGACAACATCAATCCATATCAAACTCGAATCTAAAACAGATCAGATCATTGGAATGTAGCAGCACCGAAACCACCACTTGAACAAACTGATCAAATCTGATCATCACTGATCAAAATCACACCATAGAATCATCTCTATCTTAATTAATTAATTGCTCTCCATTCATTTGCCAATTGAATTGAAAACGAAAAAATCGCGTTCCGTTCCGTTCCATGTCAAGAGCACTCAAGCAAGGAACAAAGCAACCTAACCAAAAAATCTATAGCACCAATAGAAATTGTTCATAATGCAGGTAGGAAACTGCAGGGAAATACATTTGATAAATGCAACAACAAAAAAAGATCTCTCGAATACCAATCGCCCACCGGCACACTGATTCAACCAACCAACCAACCAACCAACCATCGAACAACGAATCATATCGAAAAAATGTTACAAAATACAGAGCAACAACTCTGCACTGTATCATACAACCAAACGACGACGACTACGAAAAAAGAAACAATTTATAAATTTATTATATTTCACCACCACCACCACCATCACCACCAGCGATAACCACAACAATTCTATGCAAATGCAAGCAAGCTGGCACCATGCAGCAAGCAGCAGCAGTAGCAGTCAGCCTCCTCCTAAATAAACGCCGCATATTTCTTCTCAATTAAGCTCTCACATATCGCCAGCCATCCAGCCAGCTAGCAACCAAACAGCAAGCAGCAGCATCAGCAGCAGTAGCCACAACTGTTCCCTCACGTATCCATTGAATGAATAATCATTTTTCTTGAATCAGAGTCTGCTTGAAACGTCAATTGCAATCTTTTGCTGCCTTCAATCCTTTTCTCGAAGCACAATTTGATTTCACATCACCAAGTTCGAGTTTTAATTTTAATCTTTCTTTTTTTTTCGAAAAATCGCCGAGCATCACTAATTAAAAACTCTAAATTAACAGAGTCGTTCGCTCGCTCACTCACAGCAACGCACAGCCATATTAATAATGCTAAAGCAATATCACTAATTAATCACCTCTAAACAGCACCATTCCATGCCTATATCAAATCCTATCAACGACAAAACATATCAACAGTAATTATTATTATTATTATTGTAATAGTAATAGTAATAATAATAACTGTAATTACTATTATTCATATACTTTCTACGAATGTACTGTCCGAAAAAAGTAATTAAATTTTGCAACTTTTGCAGTCATTACACTAATCCCTATCGCTCTTACTGCTATCATCTCAATGAATTTTATCACTTATTATCATTACTACTTATCAATAACGTTAGCAGTATCATACTGTTATCAACCATTACTGTTACTATCAACTTTAATATCCGCTCAATGAAATCGTTGTACTTCTTCATAGCATAGCTGATAACACCGAAATAGACAAATACCTAATAAAACTTGCTATCAAATGAAACGATATAATAAACAATAATTCCTTAATATAATCCAGTTTACTATGAATGATTTGAATGCATCCAATCTGCATTATTCATACGAATGAATATTCATTCAATTACTCTTACTCTTATTGTTATGTAATAACAGTGATAATATTCCATTCCTGTTACCGTTATATGAATGCACCAAGTGCATATAATATATTTGCGTTATTGTTCAATTTAAAAAAGTACAATATAATAGTTTTGAATGATAATAATGGAAGCAAGCAAATTTTGAATGGTGTTGATATATTTATATTACCATTCATAGCGATATTCATATCGAAATAAGAATCACAATAAGTTTCACGTTACAATAATATCTAAATCGCTACCTGAATCCAGCTAATCACTATTATTAATACCACAAAAGGTCAGTCAATCACCTCTTACTTGCCACAACAAACCAAAATCTCAAATCAACGCGAATCAATGCAATGCAATTCAAATCGCTTCATCCAAATAAACTCAATGCCATCCACTCAATAAGCTTAAAACTAAGCCCTAAGCCAATAAGCACGCACACCTTCCCGATACAGTTCAACGCTGTGCACTGCTCTGCATAGCACCACCGCGCCTTGCTGCCAGCTATGCGCCTCACTAAGCATTCATTTAATTATATCATTAATCAACACACCAACAAACAACCAAACTCACTAAAAAACACCATTACACAAACCAAAAACATTTCTTCAACGTTCTAAAAATTTCTTCTTCAGCGATCGCAAATTTATCATCAATTTGTTCACATTCAAGCAACGTTCGTTCAATTCCAACCCAAATGGCTACTATTTGCAATGGCTGCTGCTGCTGGTGGTGGTGATGGTGGTGGTTTATGCTTAAGGATATGAACACCAACTGAATCACTAATAATGATAAGGATACGGATAATAACAATACGAATAAAATAAACATCAAACGACCACCATATTATAAAGGATTAAGCACGCGAACACACCACATCGCGTACAATGACGAAAGCCAATTTCTTCTGCATCAAACATCAGAACGCAATCTTTTTTTGCTGCTTCACTGCTCTGAAACATTTGCTATGAAATGAGCAGCTTGAATACGTTTTCAAAATATCAAATATGCACACACACACACACTATTAAACATCTCCCATATAGTGTACTCACACTGATAACGTTTCACTTCATTATGGCTGATAATCATACTATCAACCATTTCTGATCAGTATCAGTGATCAGTAAGACTGATAGATGAAGTAATAAGTAATATATAGCGGTCATAGTAAAGTGGTCATTACTGTTTACTATTATTCTTTGCTGTAATATAGTAAACAGTAATGACCACTTCTTCTGTCCACACCATACTCTATGCTAAAGGACAGTAGTGGACCAGTGTAGCGAAAAGTACATGTGGACAGTTGTCATCCACTAAATTACTTTGTGCAGTCTGTGAAAGACGGTGTGTTACGATGGTGGTAATGAAGCGATTCGACGATTACTGCCTTAGCAAGGAACAAATAACTAATTAACGCGTAACTAATCAGAACAAAACAATGCCCGTACAGGTATGACACTTTCTTTGGAGATGAAGTTAAATGGAATCGAATCGAGTCGTTGATTGCATCGTTCAAATGCATCGTCTGTCACCCATCAATCTAGCGTCGATTCCATCATCACACTTCCACAGTAATGCATCATCATCATCATCATCCGTCATTAATACGATTAAAATCGTTCCATCAAAAAAACCATTAATACGATTGATTTACATTTCGCATATTATTCCGTTCATTCAAACCAAACCTAAAGTACACACATCCATTTATGTTGTGTGTAAACAAAGAGTTCACTTCAGCAACTTCTTCAATTCACTTTGAGATCGATGTGAGCAAGGATGGATGGATGGATGGATGGAAAAGTTATTCTCTCAACTTTAGATTATCTCATTTTGAATTTTTGAAATTTACCTCGATAAAATAGCTTTACAGACAGACGCACGAACGGACAGATGAAGTCGAAATTGAGAGGAATGTGAACTAAAAGCACAAGAATTCCGGACAGCGCGCTGTAATTCGAGAAGAGAACAGCAGCATAAAATATGATAGTCTGCGAATGATGGTTTTTGAAGATGAACATTGAAATAATACTTTCTCACAATAAAAAACTGACAATGCTTGAATATAATAACTATTCAAAAGAGAAACGCTAAACTCAAAAAAAGTCAGCAATTAATTCAGATACGCACATTCCAGAGTGCAATGTCTAATCGGATTGTACAAGCTTAAGCACGCTTCACGCTTTTTTCACTTATCACTAAACGCTCTTATCAACGCTTCATTCACTAACACTTTTATGATAGCATTTTTCAGCCATTACTCTCACTTTTTCATTCAGTCTCTACGATGGTGATACTAACAGTTCAATGCCCACTCCAAAAATGTCAATGAAATTGTCAAACTCGCAATGCCCTTAACAAGTTGATCGCTTGCTACAGACCAGACCAGAGCCACCAATATTATTACTCATATAAACAATCACCTATTCTATAATGTTCGTTATTATGTGTAAATGTCTATTTTGTTAGATATAACACAACAGAATGGTGTTGCTGCTCCAAGAATCTGCAATGAACACGTTAGCAGCAACAACACTATCATACCAGTAAAAAATGATCACTGATCTATTATGATAGCCAAGTGATGATATAAGACAGAACAGAGCCAAGCTAAGCAGCAATGGGCCAAGCAAAGAAAAAACAAATCGATGAGAGATAAACTAAACTGTATTGGTGTGAATGCAAAATAGAGCAACAAGGAAACGGCACGGCAATCGAAAGCTCGCTCAATAGGCTGGTGCCGGACTTGCACACAGTCAGTCAAGACAGCCAATCAACTAACCAGCCTTGGTCAAGCTACAGGGCAGATGGATGGATGGATGGACGAATATAGTTCCGATACACTCGCTTTTTCGTTCCACTCTTATCCGATAAAAACGAGCAAGCAGCAGTATTCGATGAATTCAACACAAACCTATATCCACCGTCCATGTGTCATCGAGTCGAACACATTAAAAAATCAGAAAAGGGTGGATGGACACCGATTTTTGATCTTTAGAGTGAACATTAAACGTAACAGTTCATAGAACTTATCGATCGCCTTCTTTAACTCATAATGCGTTTATGCTCATAATGTCGGATATTGTGAACAGAGTAATACGCGTGAACACACACATTCAAAGATATTTTTGCACATTGCAGTCTTACTTACCAAACAGACATTCCTAATTCACTCGTAACATATGCGCGAAAAAATTATTATGTGCTCATATAAACTCGAATGCTGTCCATACAGCCATGTTGATTCGATAACATACTGACATCACAATGATTCGATAATGAAATTAAAACCGGGTATTGTTTCAAAATGTCCAGTCTATATTGAAACTGAAAAACTGATCGTATGATGAATCGGAGCCAATGTGTAGAATATGAATGAAGCCACATATAAACTCAAATTATGATGACGATCATCTCAATGAAGTGGGAATAATCGCTGACGAAGAATCAGTACAATTATAACAACAGCCCAGCTCGCAACCGCACACCACCACCGAATCAACACTAAATGAATTCGATGCACTGACTTCGCCTTTATATGCGATAACCATTTGAAGGACATAAGTAAAGTCACTTCTGTTATCACAACCACCTCAATAAACTATGGACAAATGCTGACGATACATCGGTGAAATAGCACTATAACAACACCACAACACACGACCGCACACCACCACCGAATCAACACCAAATGAAGTCGATGCACTCAATAACTTTGTCTCTACATGTTATAACTACTTCAAAACTGCTCTCCCTCTCTGGCGCTCTCGTCCCGCACATCGATCAATCTATATTATATAGAAATGACATGAACGTACCGTTTTGGATATGATCTATTGACACGAATACAACATACAAGCCTAATGAACGCATATACCGGCCAAATCTTACTCACAGCACGGATTCGGTCCACCATAAACTCTATTCAGCCGAAAATACGAAGAGCCACTATAACTGCTTCCTCCATGTGATCACTGCAATAACAGAACACTAAAATTATATAATGACCAATTTCCTAGTATCATTTTCTAGTATCGACATAAATCCTAATGTTGAGCATACGAAAAAAACAAAACAATCCAAAATCTTACTGGCTAGCCATATTGTAGTATGGAGTAGTTCTGTGGGTGGTTCGAATCCAAAATACTTATTACGTATATCCACAGACAGAATCGACTCACCCAACTAACTCTTTACGAGCGATTTTCACATGGAACACTCTTTCAAAGTTAATTATCGTTTAATTTTCTCTTCCGGTTGTTATCATTTTATCAAATATCAATTAGAGTGCAATCTTCATATTCATTAATCGCTTATTCGCCATTTCTCAAACCGCTACAACAGTGAATCTGCAATCAATTCATTTAGTTTTACTAACTAACCTCAAGCGAAATTCATTCAGATTGCAGTCGAACAAAATTTTATAATCCACTAATTAATTAGAAAGTAACAAAATCACCTTTGAATCACATATACGGTCGTGTCACGCCATAACTTAATTTCTGCCCAAATCTCTCAACATTTGATGCGTTCTTTTTCTTGTGTGGCCGTTTACTTAAACTCCAATTGATTTTTTTTTGCATAAGATTTCACTCGAGTGAACGAACATAAGTTTCGAGTGGATATTTGTGCATTCCGTCAGCCCCAAACACACATTTCCACCAGACAGATCAACACCATCGTCCACTCGACGGTCACCTTCAGACTTCGCATCCGGCCGGCTCTGTCCAACGTATCGCTCTCAATCCATCCATGTCCAAATCCTCTGTTCGTTCTAAATCCTCTTCGTAAGCATCCCACTAAATCCCTCAGCTCCCACAACAATATTCTCACTCCAAACGACTATCCTTCAAAAAAATCTCAACTGCAAATCTCACCTGTCATTCGCACCAATCGCAACAAAACAACACACGTACGTCTCCATATAATTCCAGCACCACTATCCACCCGTTAACCTAAATTACTCAACCTTCCGTCCTCACCAATGCTCTCCAATATATTACCAAACCCAAAAAACTCCGTCACACACATACATCCAAATAAAAACTCTGTTTATCAATACTCATTAATAATAATAACAACAACAATCCGAAAATAAACAACAACCATATAGCGAGCGATAGGCAATAAGCAAAGAATCATTATTGTTATATAATCGAAACGAAACGCGTTCATATTCAATTCATATTTATAAAAGCATTCAATAAAATACGACGAGTGATCATCCAATTGATATTTTATATGCAAAACCCTATTCACCTCTTCAATTTATTTATTTATTTATATATGTATTTATAGTCGTCACACATCATTATAACCGTTACTATTATTGTTATTATTATTATGATTACAATATCGATAATAATAACAATAATAATAATAACACCAGCGATTATTATAATAATAATAGTAACGTCAAAATAATAATAACAGCAACAACCCAATTCAAAATCAATCTTCTAATAATCTTTTTTCGCTACCGGCGAACGGTTCGCGGGTAGCGCGGGTCGCGCGAACTGGGCTCCACTTCCAGGAGCCACACCACTCGGCTGCTGGCCCGGGCCCGAGGCCACTCCTCCAACACCGCCACACGCACTCGAAGTGGCTACTGACTCGGACGACTCATTCTAAATTGTTCGTTCGTTTTCCCTTCATCATATTATCAGTTCAATTCAATTCAAAACAAACTTACCGAATCTTCATTCGAAGTACCCGAAATTGAAGAGCCATACAAAGTTGATGAGCCAAACGATGCAATATTGATCAGTTTCGTCGGCTCACTCGCACAGAAGCCTGTTATATCTAGAAGCAATGCCACACGTCTCGTCTTATGCTACACGAATAACAATTAACCAACAATCAAAAACAATCACCCACTTGGATAAAAATAACAATTCGCTTCCATTTGAGCATCACCATCCGTATCTGCTGCCTCTGAGCCCTCCTCCATACGTTCACCTGACCATCACAATTACAATCTCAGTAATTGCAATCACAATAATATTAATAATAATAATAATAACAACAATAAATAATCACCTTGAGATTCTGATCTGGCCGAAAGTGGCCTCTCATCATGCCACACGTTACTGCTACCGTCCACGGGCACCGTCGGCTCGATCGTCGAGATGCGTTGTACGTTCGCGAGTCGTGTTCCGGTTGGTGCTTAAATTACAACCACAACAATTACTACTAACAACAATAATAAAAACACAAACGATCACCAACAAAACGCACAATTCGCACCCACACCAATGCCCGGTGTCGGCGTGCTGCTCTTCGGTGCCGACATATTACTCAACAACTCGTCTATGCGCTTGTCTTCCAACGCTTCTCGCGCATTCTCCTCGCTCAGAAACGCCCTAAAAATACTTCTGCCCACTACAATGATTGAAACATGAAACATCAACATATCTACATTAGTTTATAATAATAACAATAACACATATATAACTAAGGCACTTTTTTACTTGGCGGGTGCGGTCGCACGCGAGCACGCTCGCGTATAACAACCGATGCCACGCCCACTGCGCTCATGGTTTGCGAGCGTATGTGCTTCGTATCGTTGTACGCGAAAGTGCGGGCTCGCGTGCGACCGAAGTGCCCCCAAAGTGAAAAAGTGCCAAAACAAATCCAACCGCTCACCGACACGCATCCAAACACTTTGAAATGTCCGTTTCCAGAGACGACCGCGCGTGTCTCACGCTCACGCGCGTCTCCGCTGACCGCTCGCGCAATTCGAGCAACCCCGCTACATCTGCACTCAATAGCCCTTATTTATTAACAATATAACAACAATAATAATAATAATAATAAACAATAATAAATAAACACACATTTCGTCTCCTGCGCGTTCATCTGTCGCTGCAGTCCTGCGATTGTATTCTTCTGCGTTGCAATCACTGTACGCAAACGCGCGCACTCCTCGCGCAGCTTACGTGCCTCCACTTCGGCGCGCGACGGCGTCGAGCGACGCGGCTCGGCGCTGTTCAACTCCCTTTATTTACTTGCGTTATCATTAATAAGTAATAATAAACAATCTATAATACTAAAAACAATAACGACCGACATTAATAAAAACCATAATATTACTCACTCATGCACGAATCCTCCGAATAGCTCGTGATTCGACGACGCAGGTGACTGATCTTCAGAGACACTCGCCTGGTCTAGACGCGCTTGCATACGACTTAACAACACAATATTAACAATAATGATAATAATAACAATAGTAATACTAATAATAACACTAAAAACAACAACACAATAAACCACAACAATTACCGTTTCTCAGCCTCCAGCTGGTCCATACGTTTGCCGAGCGTATTGAATAACTGCTCCTGTTCATGCTCCAGTGCATTCTCCAAGTCGACCTTCTCACGACGCAGTTGTTCAAGTGCCTTCAAACGTATAACAATAGCAATAGCAATAGCAATAACAGTAATAATAATGCACTCACCACATGATTCGCATTAATCTCAGCCTCGAGTTTCCTTATCTTCACCAGAAGCGTGTCCACCACACTGCTCTGTTCAGCTTTCGCACGACCCGCAAGCTCATCGCGTTCATTTTGCAGCTATTGATTGCATCATTATTATTAAGACCAGCACATAATAATAACAATACAACAAAACAAATAAATAACCAAAATCTACCTGTGATAATTTTCTAGTGAGATCATTCGTTAGAAATTCTTCTTCCTGTTCGTATTTTAAAGCGATTGCTTCCTTGTCATTCTTCAGTTTTTGAATACGTTTCAATAACATATTCGAGATGAATTCCTCCTCTTGTTCTGCCTTTGCATGCTGCAAGTTTATAACTCTAATAATAACAATAATAATAATAATAATAGCACAACAAATAATACAACAATGAACACACCAATCTAACACTCTTTTCACGAATTGTTCTGTTCAGCTCTTGAAGTGACTCGATACGTGAACGCAGCGACAATATTTCATCCTGTAAATACTTTAATTCAAGTCAGCAACAATATTCAATTAATAAAACACCAACCTCACGTTCGGATTTCTCCTTCAAAAGCGCCATCGCCTTATTGAGCAACTGATCGTAGTGTACCGAAGTTCGTGCCACCTGCCCTTCGTTCAGCGAAATCAACTTAGCATCCGATATTACATCACTCATCGTCTCGCTCATCTATTAACAAATCAATTCACTTACTTGCCACTTCAATAGCACTTTATAAAGACTGCTAATAAAACAAACCATTTGAGGTGACGTTTGCGCAGAGTTGATGAGCAAGAACGAGGTGATGTGCGAATTGGATAAGCGATGCTGATGATTCGGATGCTGATGCTCTGCAGTGGGCAGTTCTTCTGTGCTGGCTGAAAGCAGATAACTGATTTTCATACAAGAACACTGAATAAAAGAGCGACAACCTCTGGGACGTCTGGTGTGTTTGATACGTTGAGAATCATCTGAAAGACTATTGTTGCGAATATGATGAATTGAAGCACCACCTTGGGTGGTGGTGGCTGCAGTGGCAGATTGACTTGGACTGCTGCTACTACTTGGAGCTGAGGCTGTCGTCGCCGACCTCGTATCGGACCCCGACCCCGCCACAGTCGATGAATCCATTCCGCCGGGGCCAGGGCTTATTCCTCCTGACATCTTCTTCTGAAGCTACTTTTTAGATTCGTTTATTCTATCGACCAATTCAATCAATTAAGCGAATACTTATCGGTCATTGCTCTTGCTTAATTAACGCAATCACGGCATCAAAATACCACACAGAGCAATTCGACAATCCTTACGCACTAATACAATGTCACTAGTACAGAAATTAACTGAATACGAAACGAAATGAACAAAACGAAACGAAATAACAGCACAACGTCGTTATTAATATCACTCTAATACAACAACAATATTGTAGACAGCAGCTATTGAGGTTGCCCTTTACTACTACTAATGATGATGATGTAGACGAAACCACTGTTTGTTCATAAACACAACAACTACTCGCCTTCACAAAAAGAAAACCCTGAACGAAACAAACCACTCTCACCTCATACGTCTACAACCACCACCACTACCTATAGCTACAGATTTAGATTTGCATAATAACATTTAGATTTGCAAAATTGATAATCAACAAAACATGACAACGTAACAATAATTTATACATCGAATATCGGCAAAAATAACAATACAATCAAAAAAACTTGGATAATATGCATGCAAGTGTTTGCAACAACGCTCAGTGTGGAAACGCCAAAAAAGAACCACACGCATATTGGCACGTTACGTCGCCACCACATACATCGAACTCATTTCACAGCTGATCTCATCATCACCGAATTATTATCAAGCTGCCATGGCTTATACACACTTAAGCATACACACTACTCAAGCAGTGGTCATTCTGAGCCGTTTTACGAGCTGGAAATCATCACGAAAGGTGCAAGCAAACTGAACCACCCAGCTTGGCTCACAATCCTAGCAGAAGCAAGTAACTGCAGCAAACTTCACTGAAGGATCACCCTCAATAGTCCGAAAATGACCAAGTATTGCTGCCCTCAATTTTCTAACGATCCCATGTCCTAATCCCCTATCTGCCGCAAATCCTTTCACATCGTTATGAATCCAAATATGGATGGATGCAACTCATCCAGCCATATCGCCAAAAACGCCTAAATGTGGCGAAATGACCACACGATTCCCAGCTTTGCACCGATCACTTCCAAAATCGGAAATCATTTTTGGATTGTACAAAACAGAAGCTCAATTAAAAGTCTAAACTCATATATTCAGAGCCGTTCACATAAATCGATCGCATTCCTGCTCACCTCAACTCGATTCCTCACAAATTTGCCCAGAATCCAAAGCATCAGCAGTAGCAATTCTACTCTCTTGTCCATTATTATTGTTATTAACGTACTCAAAATGAAAACAATTATCACCTGCTCAATCGCGAATGAGAATTTTCTCATGAAACGGAATCAATTCACCATATTCTTCACATATCATTCCCACAGTATTGCTCAACAACACCACACAAACAGCGCAAATAAATACATACATATACTCCACATTAAACACTTCCATACGCAATTCTATACTCGAATCCACTAACTCAGGTAGGCTGCTGACTATTTCTTAGTATCAATTTCTCAAATGGCTTCTATCAGCCGCTCAAACAAACCAATTTAATATACTCCATTAACAATCAGTTCTATGTTATAGATTCACTTATCCAATTCGAATCCAGTTGTTCACTGATATCAGAGCTTTATTAAAATCACAAGTACTGTTATCCAATCATACGAGATGGATAACCACTATAAATTTTCATATATCGTTGTTCTGTTCTCTTTGACGACACTGAATAATCACTTCACAGGTGACTGAATCGCTTTTCACTTTCATATCACAATTTCACTTTTCTGAAGCATTCAGAAAGGTACTATCAACTCAACAATTGCTTTTCAGACTCGAGCAATAATATTGTCAGCAGTTCATCAGTGCTCTTCACGGAGCCCGATGACGACCTACAACTGGATTTGCTCACAGACGAAAATCTTTTGCACGAAAACTCAAAGTCGAGCAGCAGCAGCAATTATTGGTGGTTGACTCCATTCGACCACGACGATTACTATGAACGGCTGCCATTCGCACCCTCCAACGAGCCACATCCTCTCTCTTCCGGCCAACAACAACAACCATCCATCATCGATACGACCAGCACCTCACCTCCTATCACTAAAACTACCCATCTCAACGCAATCTCTACTCAACTCTACTGTTTCTGTTGTCGAGCATTCATATGCTCACATCAGCGATGCCCTTGTTCCAAATTTATCTTCTAATATCATTTGCATTATAAACAATCAATTCAACTAACCATATCGTATAAAAACCCATCTCAAATCAAGTAAAACAATATCGATATTGTACAATATAAAATCAATTCACGCACACTCTCATCACCAATTTATTGATAAATTTTGTTCGATAATTTGACGTTGAAACAATGATTATTACTCACATCGATGTTATTATAAAACATCTCAGCGTTTACTTGCACTGCAAACACATTAATCGCTCGTTACAATCGCAAACACAAACATTTATAACAAATAACAATCATAGCAAAATGAAAATAATCACTCTGATTATTATTATTATTATTATTATTCTGGGAATAAGTCACCACAAGGGTCATCGGTTTTATTCAATCAAAAATATCTNCTCTGCGTTCCCATTCAGATTCCTATTTTTCAAATCTTATTTCAAGCACCTTTCTTCTCATAGTAACAATATGGCACTTGTTTTTTTTAGGGGGGTCGCACGCGAGCGCGCTCGCATATGACAACCGATGCCACGCCTACTACGCATGGCCACCGCATGTATGTTGTTGAACGCGAGCGTGCTCACGCGCGTGTCCCCCAAAGTAAACAAGTGCCGCCCGCTGTTGTTTCTATCATTATCATTAGTATGTTGATTACCATTACCTCGCCAGCCCAATTACAACAACAACATCGCGTTAGACAATCTCGACGAATGCGGCCAAATCCAGCAAGAACCACAGGTCTGGATGAACCTCGATTGGATGAACCTCATCTCCGGCCGCCTCACTTTTCACATCCCCTGCAAGCAATATCCTCAGGTTCACTCACGATCCTATCCAGTCAATCTTTCAAAATTCTAACAATTTAAAGCACCTGTTCGATGCAGTCTATCCAAATCGTCCACCACCCGATCACCATCATCCTGTTGATGTTTAGCATTCTCGTTCTGTTGCTGCCGCTCTTTACATTTCAGTTTCATCAATTCCCGCAGATTTGTCTTCAACACCCGTGCAAACATGTCGGCCTGATAATGTGACCTCAAGTACAACGATATCGGCGCATCCCAAGCGCCCAAAACCAGTTGACGCGCGAATCGCCAGTCGTAACAACCACCCAGCATGCTCTCGGATTGCTCNTATGCGACACATCTGCAACTAATTTATTCTATTTGCAATTATCTAATCAGCGCCACTTGTTTACTTTTCGGGCGTGGGCTCGCACGCGAACACGCTCGCGCACAACTGCACACACACACACACACACCTACACACTTTATCAACGACGCTATGCGTAGGCGTGCGCGCGTGCGTGCTCACCCTTCCAAGTAAACAAGTGCCTATTCACACATTAACTAATAATGAAACTACTAATCAAAAACAACAACCTATCGCGACGATTATGCAGGAAACGATAGTCACTCCAATAATTACTCTCTGTATCATCTCGTCCATTCAACGTACCGTCCACTGGCCCACTTCAATGGCAATAACAATCATAATAATAACAATAATAATAATAACAAATGAAGAAAATAAATCTACACTTACATCACAACATGATGTGATCGTTGAAAATCATACGTCGACTTATCATTATCACTATCACAAGCCGTTTCATCAAGCAGTACCTCATCGTCGCACAACTTCAATTCTTCTTCAGTGTCCAAGTCTCCCCGATTCGAGTAGTCTAAATCTCATTTACAGTCGTCACATCAAAACAATTCAATTGCTACACAACCGCTTACCACTATCATCCCCATTGTCGGAATGTTCGCTCGAATCTTGTGTTCCTCGACGTTTCACCTCCTCTTTCGCCTTACTCAGATCCGTTCCAAGCGCCTCATCAAATTGCTCGTAAAGAAATTGCTGCGCGGCCTCCGTGTCTCTGAGTTCCTCTTCACGCAGCCACGGTTCAAAATAGCGTTCACGATCCTCTTGCTGAACACATTATAACACTACTCTATCGCTGAATATTTTCCTTCAATTACAATAACAACACCACAAAAAATCAATGCCACGTGTTCACTTTTCAGGCGTGAGGTCGCACGCGAACACGCTCGCGCACAACTGCATACACATACACACCCCCACACACTTTATCAACGACGCTATGCGTAGGCGCGTGCGCGCGCGTGTGTGCGTGCTCGCCTTTCCATGTAAGCAAGTGCCTGATCACACGTCAAAAAATAATAATCTGCTTCTTAAATGTCAACATATCAGTGAAATAATGAAAACAAAGCAAAACAATTACCGATCGAACTTGGAATGGCTCGAACAACCTGGGTCTTTCAATCACCTCGCCATCCAATAACACCTCCAAATCAGGCACCTTCAAGTAAACTTGCATGATAAGCAGCAGCAGCAGCACGAACTTATGCACACCACCTAACAACAATCAGCAAAACAAGCTCTAACCTTGAAAGCATTCTCAAAGAATTCATTCAAATCCCCGTTTCGACTCGTCCCATCTCTCTGCCCTGCTGTTGCTGCTGCTGCTGCAATTCCCTCCTCTGTGGTGCCACTTTTTGATTTTGACACTCTTCCTGAACAAAACACCACTAGCATATGAGTGAGTCTGAACACGCCAGCCCTAATGAATCGGTAACGAACTTGTTTGCAAACCTTGTTGATGAATGTTCACGGATTGTCGTCTTGTAAGCGATGTGGCAGAACGATTCGACTGCGTAACACCACGACTCGACGATTGTGTGCTTCCTCCTCGCGGTGTTGACCCGCCGCCGCCTGCCACCGAATGTAAGGCGGCTTCACTGCGACGAAGTAAACTCTGAACTCTTTCAAAATTGATCACTTGAAATTGAAATCACTCCTACTTCTATTATTATGAAACAGTCAACAAACCAAATAGTCAATGGCCGTCGAATTCGTTTGGCTGCTATTCGAATGGCTATCCGACGGTGACAATCGATGTGAAATATTATGACTGTTTCGCGCATCTAAACGTCTGATTATTTCGATTGCACGACTCACTGGTACCATTTGTATTGAATTCGTTGTTGAAACACCTCGTTGATCCTTCAATATGCATAACAATTATATGATAATAACAATAACAACAATAATACTCTACCTGAGTTGCTGTTGTAGCGACCGGCTGGCTGCTGGGGACAATACTCTGATTTCGGTTTGAGATACGATTACGACTATTCGCTTGTTGTTGTGATTCTGCAGTAGCACCGGCCTCTTGGAAGAGACCAGTTTGGTTGCGTTGATAACGTCGAGCGTAACGCAACAAAAACGATGGCATTGACGTGTCGACGAATGCCGATGACGAACCATTACCAGCGGCTGCAGTTGCTGCTGCTGCTGCTGCAAGTCGAGTAGTTCTTCTGTGGCGATTCGATAACCATTCTTCGAGCGAATTCGAATCCGTTTCCAAGCTAGTATTCAGCACCTGCTGTTGGCGATGCCTGTGTCGTAGACCAGCACCAGCACCAGCACCACTAAATAGCGATGACTGCCCCCCAGTGACGTTCTCAAGTTGAGTGGCGGCTCGTAACGTTGCTAACCTCTCTTCCGAGCCAACATTATAACCTGTACCTGCAATGGCACTACTGCTTTGTCCATCTTCTCTTCCCATTAGTGGTGCAAAA